TACTATTTTCTACGGTCGGCTATTGGCAATGCATCCGCGAGGAATATGTCATCTTCTGCTGACGTACGTTTTTTGTTAATATATGAACGTTTATTATCCGAACCTACGAACGTTTATTATCCGAACCTACGACCTTTGGAATACTAGCCCAATTTGGAATTACTTTGGAATACTAGCCCAATTTGGAATTACTTTGGAATACTAGCCCATTGGGCTAGTATTCCAAAGGTCGTAGCTTCGATTCCCGCCGTGGTCAAGCATATTTTTCAAGCTTGCCCGGTGTGGATATACACTCAGAGTAACATCACAAGCATCATATTCACCTGAGTACATTACACCAACACAGAAAAAAATCATGATTATTAGATTACATTGATATCGAAGGAACTAGATTCTGTTCCGAAATATCACATACTCGAACCGACCAGACCGCGTAGCTCAGTTGGCAGAGCATTGGGCTAGTATTCCAAGGGTCGTAGGTTCGATTCCCAGCGTGGTCAGGCATATTTTTCAAGCTTGCCCGGTGTTTATTATATAGTATAGTTTTAACGTTTAGTATATTATTAATGTATAGTTTTTGTTAATATTCCAACGTTTCTCAAAACAACTTTTTTTTGTTTCTCAAAACGCGTTTTTCTTGAAATCAAATTTTTTTTTATATTCTGCAAAGATGATTCCGAAATGTTAAGGCTTTCGGCGAAAAAACGATCGAATTTTTCCACAGCTGCAAACCCCCCACCCCCAAACGAACATATGACGTTTCACGTGGAAAAATCGATATCAGGAGGCTTCCCTAACTAACGAGGATGCCGCCAAATTCTTCCTCGTCGGCATCTTGAAGGATTTTTTCGATTTCACATTTCTATTTGTAGGACGATGATCGAAACGAATTCTTTCATGTTGGTTTTCAATCCCCTGCCTCTGGCACAACATCTCCCCCCGGCATCACACCATCTCCCCACTCCAAGCCAGAAGTGTCACCGGGCCCGCATCAAATATCAAAGGAAAAAATCACCATCACTGAGAAAAATAGGCTTGATCATACAGATGATCCTATTATGGTAAGAGCATAGAGATTATAAATAACACTAGAGGAGGCATTGTAATCTTAATTCAGTAAAAAAAGGGAACGCGACCATTGGGGGGCAAATTCAAGTCCCGGGTGTGTATTCGTGTCCCATTAGCCATTCCGAAGTTGATGAGTGGACTGGGGACGAGTGTTAATAAGTGCCCAAATTAAGAAATGAACCAAATCACTAAAAAGACCTCCTCAGAATTAGCAAGTATACAAAGTTTGAAGACGTTTACATGGATATCCTTCGAATAATAAGCTTTCGAAAATCGTGATATTTACTATGAAATGTATTGTATTTTTTGTTTTTGAGACGTGCGTCCCAAACACAATCTTTTAATCAGTAATTTCACAATTTTCGAAAGCTTATTATTCGAAGGGTATTCATGTAAACGTCTTCAAACTTTGTATACTTACTAATTTTGAGATGGTCTTTTAGTGATTTGGTTCATTTCTTAATTTGGGCACTTTTTAGCATTAGTCCCCTGTCCTCTCATCAACTTCCGAATGGCTAATTGGTGACGAGTTTCAAATCAGCCAATGAGAGCACGATTTTATATCCGGGACTTGAATTTGCCCCCCATTAGCTGCGTTCCCAATTTTTAAACTCGATGCCTCCTCTAGTGTTATTTATAATCTCTATGGGTAAGAGATTCTTTTGTGCAGAGTGACGCCATATTTAAAGTGTGAAGCATTGTGGTCTGATTGCAGAAAGTTAGTTAATATTTTTAGTTAGTTAAAGCATTTATTTATTCACGATAATAAAGTACAGCATTGCTGATGTGGTCGTGACTAAGTTAGTATAGACTATTTACAATTTGAAGACCTAATTTGATCTAAATTACTAAAAGCTAAATATAATAAGTCAAATCGATCGATCTTTAAACTAGCCATAATTTAAAGTTCGTACAAGATTCTTAAAAATTCTAAAGTTCGTTTTCCCCCTCGATCGTGTCATTATTTAAAGAGTTCCATAATTTTTCTCCTTGAAAAGCCAATGAAATCTTTAAATAATCAGTACATGGTTTAGGCAGCAAAACTGTCATTTTTCTGCACAGATTGTATTGACTGACATATTTAGTGAGCAGCGCCTGGAGCGATTCCGGATGATATCCATTATAACACTTGAAAACAAAGACCAACAATCTTTGAGAATTCATACACATCGTTACGTTGGTTTGTTTGCAAATTACAATTTTTTTTTGAAATTTTGTGTTTGAGACCAATGCATAGATATCTTATTGATACACTAGATAGAGCATCTCTTTTAGTAAAATTGAAGCCAAGAATATTCCAGCGGTTAACCCCCATTTGAATAGATGGCGGCCATGTTGGAGATTCCCACGAGTTCGCTAATAAACTCTTAAAAAACAACAATAACTTTCATCATTGAATAGTTTGAAAATGTGTTTGGAATAGGTTTAACTTAATGTTTAAGTTCCCTGTTTAAGAAATCGAAAACATACGAGTCTTCTCATTTCATGGGAATATCCTGAGTCTGCAATCACGGCTTCAATTTTTGAATTGTAGACTAATTAGATGCACTATCTAGTGTATATAAGATATCTATGGACCAATGATTTAAGCTACTTTTCCAGGGGCCGAATCAATGTGACTGGAGGGGCAAATCCGATTCTTCGGGGTGGGGGATTGTCAGAACTGAGAATGAAAACGCTACGATATATACGTATAGATATATGGTTGAAGTGGAAAACATGCTTTACTATTTTGCACAGATCAAGATCCACGGTTACAGATTGAAAGTTTTGCAATACAATTAAATATATTTGGTGCTTTCCACAAACCAAAGCAAATAACATGCTGTAACGTAGGGTCGGTATTACACAATATGAATAGGCTTTGTGATTGGTTCAACATTACAATAGAAGACAATAAACTATAGAAATCATAATAAGCTTTCATTGGTAGGGATGGAACTATCTGAATTTCGACGGTTTGAGTGAAGGCCCTTCGTCTGAAGTTATATGTAGAAATCGTAGTTCTGAAGAACGAATCTTAAACTTTTGTTTCAGAAAACCAATCACAAAACCTGTTCATACATTGGCGTATGGGCCTAGTCTTGTTTGGGGGGGGGGGCAATATAGTTTGCCCGAACAGGCACTGAAACTGAACATTACTATTTTCCCCAAAATTGGCGAACGGGGGTGGGGTCACCAAAACATTTTTTCCGGACACATCAAAAAAATTTTTCCGGACATACCAAATACTTTTCTACAAACATTCCAAAATTTTTCCTGACGGCACATAATTTTCGCAGAGATACAAAAATTTTTTCAGGACATATCAAAATTTTCCCGAAATTTGTATGTTTTGCCCGAATTTCGCATTGATTTTTGCCCGACCGCAAAATGTTTAGCACGTGCCCCCCCCCCCCCGGCCCAGACGCCTATGTGTTCATATTAGGTACGTACTTACCGTTAACGTGCTGATTTGTCTGCGTTTTGCTCGATCGTGAATTATTAATATGCATGAGAACTATATATAAAATCTGGACGAACTTTGTGTGTAGGTTCCTGGGGATGATATAATTTCACCAACTTTACCATCGGACGATGATGATATTATTGACGACCACGACAGGTGAAATTTCATGTTCTGTATTTATTAGAATGTTCCATTGTAATCCCAGACCTCGAATTTAGGAAAAGGCAAGGCAAGTTTGGCCTTGAATGTTATGTTTTTAAGGGCATCGACCATAGGCGTACGAGGGGGGTGTGGGGGGGGGGGTGGAGTCCTCCAATATTTTTTGTCTGGATCTAGGTACTTAAGGTCAGGCACATTGCATCATCCTTACCCCTCCCCCCCCCCCCACGTCGACAGGCACTTTGGGAAATATAACAACGATTATAAATTTCCTCCCATACTCAGCGTGCTACATACTTAGCACACACTGAAAATTATAGTCAGTGATAAACAGTGTAAATTAGTAACAACGAAGTGTTCACAAACTCAGTAGCAGAAAAAAATTCAACAGTTGTGGAATTAATGCTAAATGTATGTCGAACAACAGTAGTACTACTGTATATTGCGAATGTCATATTGCCGTACCTATTTCGTCTCTATTTAAGCATATTCTTGAGTTCATTGGCGAATCGTCATTAACTGTGAAAAAACACGTTCGACTTGCAGCATGGTAAATTGTATGCTTTCACAGTATTTTATGGCCAAAAACTTCAATTAGACATTGAAGTATCTTAAGATTATTTCGAAAGGGTTCAATTCGAATGAGAACACCTTTTAATGTTCCGATATGAACGATCCCATGTGACCGGCGTACGTGGCCGCCGCTAAATTCGAGGCCTGCAGTCTCTACGCACACCCTTTTGACTTGTCGATGCCTTGCACATGGACTTTCGTTCTTGACTGCTCCTGCCATAGGCAATCAAGTAATCGTTAATGTGGAGTCTCAAACAGAGGCGAGAGATTATATTCCGCAATGATATTGTCACTACTATACAGTAGCTTACAAAGCTGAGTTATATCATTATATTATTCATCATTCGTTTCTGTTTGATTTTTCCGCTTTTGTTGTGTGTTGTGTGTTGTGTGTTGTTTGTTGTACTGTCATATACTGTACAATCTGTCCATATTTTCTATATTGTTGTGCGTGAGATGCCTTGCATGTCCCCGTTCGCATTTTTCCCTTTTGGGACATTTGTCTGAATTTTTCTTATATTGTGGTTCTTGTTAAAGTACCTTAAAGTACCTCTTGTGGCCGTTTCCTCTGGCTTGCACATATATACCTTCATAATATTTTTGACTTTTTGTTTGCAGACCTGTTCAACCTCCAGACGATGTGGGGGAGGAAGTCCAGATTGTAGATCCAGGCACGGGACGACTTATCACAGCTCCAGGCAAGTTGAACTTAATCCTTGGCCTGCCCCTGGCCAGTTTCACTGATTGGCCATCTAGAATCAGTGACAAAATACGCGTGGACCGTCAGGGTGAGATTGTGACATAATCCTAGCTCTTTCCCCTGTTCAATGTTGTTGGACTAAAATTGGCATCTTATTTGAAGTAGTTTTGTGTTGTATTGCGTTGCTCATGCATAACTCTCTCAGAACACATATAGCAACATGAGGGAGGGGGTTTTACATGTCATTTTTGCAATTGTTTACAGAAGTAACCTTCCAGTCTAATAGGCAAATCCAGCTATGTTTGATCGCGAAATGTTGTAAAATGCGGAAAATATAACCCTGCGAAATTTGCATACACCACTTTCGGCCCAAATGTGGCGCGTTTTCCCGTGCGTAATACAATTAATGACAAAATTTGCAAATTTCGCAGGCTATATATTTTCCGCATTATACAACATTTTGCGGCCAAACTTTGCAATTTTACTAATTTCAACATGCTCTTTCTAGCTGTGGTGATGGATTTTGTCCTCCTTGCCGAGATCAAAATTTAGTCAAAAGCTGTAATCATACATTGTCCCACCGTTTAGGCAGGGAAATTATGCTAAACAATCCAGTGCAAAAATAATGACTTTTAGGGGTGCACCGGATTTGGAATTTTCAAATCCGGCCGGAACCGGATTTACCGGATTTGGACAAAAATTCCGGCCGGAATTCCGGCCGGATTTGCCGGATTTAGGAAAACCCGGTAATGGGGACAATTGGGGATAAATCAGTATTCAAAATGACGGTTTATGTTTTTTACTATTTTTAGTTAGTGTCAGTTTAGATTTTTGATTGTGTTTAAACCTTTTTTGAACATCTTTTTGTTAATAACTTAATATTTTATAATAATATAAGTGTTTTTTAAACTTTAAAGCTGCCAAATTGATGGTTTATCCCATTTTTTAAGGTGAAAACAGAAATTTAAATCCGGCCGGATTTTCTCCAAATCCGGCCGGATACCGGATGCCGGAAAATTCGTTAAATAATTCCGGCCGGATTTGAAATCCGGTGCACACCTAACCCCATGATAGCGAAAAGTACAAAAGCAAATCCCCAACCCCTGATATATATATATATATATATATATATATATATATATATATATATATATATATATATATATATATATATATATATATATATATATATATATAAGCTTTTCTCGTTATATAAAGAAACTTCTCGGCGAACATGCCTGCATGGTTCGTTGCAGTTCTCGCGTGTTTGGGCTCATTGACATTGACTCGCACTTTAAGTATATGGCTCATGCACTGACTCGCACTTTATTAAAGCAGACCAAGACGATTGATAGTTTTAAATAACATGATGAATTATCAGATAGGATAGATAATATATTGTTTCTACGTCGCATAAGCCGTACGTAGTTTTGTTTTTCCTTAAGCCCGCCGCACACGAGAGCAACTTGCTGAGCTAACCGCCTCGCGAGGCAGCTAGCTCAGCTATGTATTTTCACCGCACACGTTGGGAAAATTACTCAACAACAACACAATTGACAAAATCATTTGCATTTTACTCCATTTTGTTCCAAGTCACATGAAGAAACCATTGTTTGTCATTGGCTAATTGATTCAAACAGCTCAGCACTTAGCTCACAACATCCGCAGACGCTGAGATTTCTTCCTCGCGAGGCGAAAAATATCAAACACGATAGATATTTTCCTCAAGGCCTCGAGAGGTCAAATCCTCACGAAAACTATCCGCACACGAGAGCAACTTGCTGAGCTAACTGCCTCGCGAGGCCGTTAGCTCAGCAAGTTGCTCTCGTGTGCGGCGGGCTTTAGGTACATAGCATGCATCAGAAAAAATAAATAGTTTATACCTTTAGTAGAAGCACATTCATGGCGACGCGGCGGAGGAGGGGAAAGGAGACAAGGTTGGCAACATCCATTGGCCAAGCTGCATGTATCATCATAAACAAACCCGTCTAACTCAACAGTACGGAAAGCTCAGCCGAAAATTCTACAACAGCTGATAAAACAACTATTTTGCTTTCCAACAATGTAGTCCTTTCAAAATTTGAAAGTTTCCCTTTGCAGAAATTTCACTTCAAACCACGGCCTCCATACAAAATTTACGATGTGACTTGGCGCAAGGTAAACAAGGTTCACAAACGGTAAATTTTAAATTTAAATCTCGCGCCTAATTGGATAAAGCGGTACGACGTTGCGAGTCGTCAAGTGCTTCTACTAAAGGTATAAACTATTTATTTTTGGTGATGCATGCTATGCACTTTAAGTATATTTCCTTCAATGATAAGTATTGATTAGTGATACAATTTAGTGTAAAAATTCAGAATATTTTTGAGCTAATCGTTAACATTATTATTTTGGAATCCGAGGGGCATTTCACTCCAAAAAAGCGTACGGGATTTGCGGATTTTTAAAAATCCGCGGATATTTTAGCGGATTTTCCCCGGATTTTTTAAAGAAAAATCTGTTGGATTTTCCGGATTTGTTTGGATTTTCCGGATTTGTTCGGATTTTTTCCGGATTTTTTTACGAAGCGTACGGGATTTTCGGATTTTTTAAAAATACGCGGATTTTTCCCGGATTTTTAGCGGATTTTTGAAGAGAAAATCTGTTGGATTTTCCGGATTTGTTCGGATTTTTTCCGGATTTTTTGACGAAGTGTACGGGATTTTTGGAGTGAAATGCCCCTCGTTGGAATCGATACCGCAGGGGGTAATTAAGTATGCTAAGCATCAGAAATTTAAATCGCACAGTGTGTCTGGGCTACCTATGGTGTAAATTACTATTAAATTTATGCCCAACCATAGATTAGGAAATGAATAGATGGCTCACTCCTTTGATGTTTTTGACGCCGCCGGCACCCACGCATGTTCTTGCCAGAGTAATGGCGGCCTAGCAAGAACTATAATTAAATATATTGTGAAATTGTTATCCGTGCTACTAAATCCTGTATTTTTCCGCTTTCGTGGGGTTAAATGGAAAAATAAATCAGAATTATAAAAATACAGGATTTAGTAGCACCGATGTCAATTTCACAATGCATTTTACTACAGTTACTTCCTAGGCCGCCATTACTCTGGCAAGAACATGCGTGGGTGTCAGCAGCGTCAAAAACATCAAAGGAGTGAGCCATCTATTCATTTCCTAATCTATGGCCCAACCGCCTCTAAACACACCAAAAGCGAAGGGCTTTGTTTTCATTTTTTGCTCGGTATAAAACACATTCAAAGGACGTCTGAAGGTCTATATTTTATGAAGGTCTATATAATTCTTTGTGAACAAGAAACAAGAGCGAGAAAAGTGCAAAATTTTGCCTTATTTTGGAGCAATTATTGTGAAATATGAAGCCCTGAAATTCGAAACTACTTTTTGTATTGCGAAAGTTTGATATGCGGACTTTGTCCTGGTCCAACGAAACGAGATTAAAGTGTCTATAGGCTGCCAAGTAGAAAATAATGCGTGACAAGCGTGAATAAACCTAAATAAGCACAATGATGATGTGACTAGACGCCACAATCTGCGATTTCCCTTATTTGCTGATGATGGACAACTCTATATCACATTTAAAACTAACGATCATGATGATTTAATTTCATCCAGGATCCGTATGGAGAAATGTATATATGAAATAAGATGCTGGCTGATCTTGAACAAATACAAATTCAATAGTGACAAAACAGAACTTATACTAATTCATTCATTCACGCTATCATTCACGCTATCCGGCATTCATCTGATGCCTCCTGTAAATTATATCATAGTGGGAGATGAAAGAATCGTGCCAACTGTTTCAGCCAGAAACCTGGGGGTGATTTTAGATGAGTGTATCAAAATGGAGGAACATATTAGTACATGTATCTGTAAGTTAGCCTACTATCACATCAGGAAATAAACAAAAATTTCCCAACACAGTTTTTTAGAACAACTATTTTACTGTATAAAAATGATATTTTCATAAATATATCTTAAAACCAGCAGGAATTAACAACTAAAAAGCGAAAAGGTATATTCCCTAATAATTCTTACATTATTTTATTGTTTGCCAATTTTACAACTTTATCATATATTTTGCATTCACTGGCGAACATTTGGTGAAAATTGATGAAAATCAGACTGATATAGCCGCGCAGTATAGCGATTTTTCGCAAAACGCCAAAAAAGGGTGTCCTGTAATAACTCCCTATATGGTCTATATGGTGTTCCTAAATGTGTGCTTCAGAAGCTCCAGACAGTCCAAAACACCGCAGCTCACTTGCTAACCAACACTAGGAAATCGGCACAATATTACTTCCAATTTCGTATCCAATTCAAAATTATTCTCCTTGCCTACAAAGCTGTTAACTATCTTGCCCATAGATATCTTATATACACTAGATAGTGCATCTAATTATTCTGCAATTCAAAAATTGAAGC